GCGCGGCCCGGGTGCAGGCGGCTCGGCTGCACCAGCGCCTGCTGGACCAGCTGCGCCGCGGCCCCCTCCAGCTGTGCCAGCTTCGCAGGCTGCTCTGCTACTGCCCGGGCGGCGGGGCGGGCGGCGTGCAGCGAGGCTTCCTGCTCCACGACCCCTGCGACAGCCCCGACACCCGGGGCGCGCTGCTGGCGCTGCTGGACACGTACCAAGAGGCTCCGCGCCCACGGCTGGGCGAGTTCGTGGGCGACCCGCGCAGCCAGGTGTGGCAGTGCCTGTGGGAGCTGCGGGACGGCCAGGGGTGGCGACAGGTGGGCCGCGAGCGCGTCGTGCCCGCCCCGGAGCCCACACTGCACCCGGTGGTGCCCGACCTGCCCAGCTCCGCGGTCTTCCCCGACCGGGGAGCCGCCCGCGCTGTTTTGGAGGCGGTAAGAGTCCTGTGCCTTCTCAGCCCACAGGGTGCGCCCCCAGACCAGAGAAGTGGACACAGTGTGCTCTCCGGGGGGCTGGCCTATCAAGACCTCCCGTGCCCGGGTAGTTGATTTACTCCCAGTGAAGGCGGCCTGTGTGCCAGGCTCTGGTTTAGATACTGGGGCTCCTTGGCGATTCTTGCCCACGAGGAACTTCCAAACTGATGTGGGAAATGTATCTCAACACTGAGCTAGTGGTGCGGCGCCTGCTATACGTGCACGGTGGAGGTCCTAGAGGAGGAGGAGAGAGGCCCCTGGTGGGGGGAAGAATGCCATCTAGGTAGTAATTACACCGTCCCAGGAGGTTGGTGTGTAGGGAAAAGGGGAAGAATTTGGGAGTTTAAAAACTTAGACAGTGCCCACCTACTTGCTGGACCCAAGTCACTCAGCTACTCCAAGTGTTCTTTTTTTTTCGTACCTAAAATATCTGTCTTGCTGGGTTGAGACAATGAAACATCTGACACGCAGCAGGTGCTCAATGAAGGAGAGCTAAGAATCTTTCTGACTGCAGCCTAAGCAGGGTCTGGGATGTCCAGACACCACCTCCTGAGGCTGCACTATGGATCTTAGATAAATTTTACAAGCTTTTGGGATAATCCTGCAGAGTATTTAAGAGTGCAAGACCAACTACTTGGGTTTGAATCCAAACTCGGGCATTAATTACCTGTGTCACTTTCAGTAAGTTTCTTAAAGTTTCTTTGCCTGAGTTTCCTTAATCCACAGAGTTATCATGAAGACTGGCCAAGTTAACACTCTGAACACACTTAGAATATCGCCTTGCTCAGAGTAAGCACATAGATCAATAGATGTCTGGGCCTCACTGCAGAGGTGCTATGAGGATGCAGTGGGGCGGTGCACAGTTAGGAGCTTTGAATCCCCAGGAAGACCCTGCTCTGCGTGCTTGGTGATTGCGGTGCTTGGCACCCTCCTCAGCCCCAGAGTGGTTAGGAAAGGACAAATGCTGAGTGCTGTCTTTGGAGCCAACAGTGTAGCTGATTTCCCACATTTGTGACAGACTGTGCCAGGCAGGGCCTGTAGTTCCATCGTCTCGGTGTGATACTGCTCTGCAATTATGCATCTTTCCTGTCCTTCTTCCCATGGAGAATGCTGGTCAGTGAGGGTTGCAGGCTGAGTGATCCCGACAGTTACCGCCTTTTCGAGCTTCAGCTACCCAGTATAAAATAAAATCGTCCGCTCTTCTCAGGTTCAAAATACTATGAATTTTGGCATGATGCCAAACATAACTTAGGCCTTGTTAGTATCAGACAAGCTTGTTCTCAGCGGTTAGGTGTGGCTTCTGCAAAAGCCCCATTGCTTCGCTGCTGATGCGTGGACGCTGTTTTACAGTGTACACCCTTCATTCCTGAAGCCCGAGCGGTGCTTGACTTGGTTGACCAGTGCCCGGAACAGGTCCAGAAAGGGAAGTTCCCAGTCATTGTCATCGAAGGACTGGATGCCACAGGTAAGAGAATATTACCTTTTAGTTACAGGCAATGAGATTAATTGATCAGTTGCAGGAATAGACAGGTCCCGACCAACAAAACTTTATACAGAGTTCGATTCATAAGCCTCATATGAGCCTCCAGGGTGTGGCAGGCTCGGAGCAAGGCAGGCCTGGAACACAGGATGAATGAGACCTTCCATCTAAGGCCACGCAAGGGGTGGGCGAGCTGAACCGCAGGTGCTGGTGAAGACGAGAAGGCACTGAATGTAGCCTCTGGGTAGGAGGCGAGGGGGCTAGAGTCATGGTCAGGGATAGCTGGGAAGTGTTGACGCCTGGATGGTGTTTGCAGTGCAGGTAGGAGCTACTCAGGTGAGGAAGGCGGAGAGGTTCCCCGACAGGAGAAACAGCATGGGTGGAGGCGAGAGACTTGAGCCAGGAGGGTGCATCTGGGAGCTATAGGCAGTTCGGAGGCCCCTGTTGGAGCAAAATGTGGAAAAATTGGCAAATGGAAGGGAGGAGGTTTTGAAGCTGCCAAATAGATATGAAAACACCATGGACACCTGCACACTTAGCCCAAAACATAAGAACAGGAGAAGTGTGGCTGCAAGGGCAGCAGCAGATACCGAGGACAGAGTTGATCCTGGGGAATCACTGCATCGTGTGGTTCAGCGTGAGGAGTGTCTCCTTCCTGTGTCAGGGGAAGAGTGTTAGGAGGAATGAGGTAGAGCTTATTACGGGGCCTGCAGGTCCCATACCAGAGTTTCTTATTAATTTGTAAATAAGACCATTTTGGTTTTTCTTCTAAGTATTCTCATACCAAACAGAGGGATCCTAAGTTCCTAAGGGTGTGCAACATTTTGTAAAGAATCATATTATTTAATCAACTCATTCAGTTTATAGGCCGAAATGCCTTTCTTCTTTCTGAGTTAATATTAACTTTTGGGAGCGATTTGGTGGCTGTGCTTAAGGTGTGCTATATTTTGTGTATGACCTGCAGGTAAAACCACTGTGACCCAGTCAGTTTCCGATTCACTCAAGGCTGTTCTCTTAAAGTCACCACCTTCTTGCATTGGCCAGTGGAGGAAAATCTTTGATGATGAACCGACTATCATTAGAAGAGCATTTTACTCGTTGGGCAATTATATCGTGGCTTCTGAAATAGCTAAAGAATCTATGAAATCTCCCGTGATTGTAGACAGGTGGGTATAAAGATGCCTTGAATTTGGCATTTTCTTCCTCACATTTGTGTGTGTGCATGTGTGTGTGAACATGTATATGCAAGTACACAGTTGTGTTCATTAAGTCAAACTATAGTACGGTAGTATTAGGAATAATGTCTATGATTTACTAATTACCTACACCATTGCCCAGCATTTTGCTAAGAGCGCTAGATATATTTTACTAATATCTGGAACAATTGCTTGCCTGGGTAGGTACTAAAGGTTATCCCCAATTTACTGATGAGCAACATAGGTCTGAGAAAGGTTAAGCAATTTGCCAAAGTGCCTGAGCTAGAAATAGCATATTGGGGATATTAACAAAGTCTCTGTTTCACAGATCGATGCTTTCAGTGGTTCGCTTGTCCATTGGCTTGTTCAACAAACATTTATTGGGCATCTATCCTGTGCCAAAGACTGTTCTCAAGTAGGGGAGTCAGTGGAAATGACCTGGACAGTGCCGCGTTCATGGAGCAAACACACTCTTGAAGGAGAAGATAGTCAAGTGCATAAATACGTAAGATAATATCAGAGGATGATGCATACTGTGAAGGGGATAGATCAAGGCCATATGGTACACAGTGGCTAAACCTCTGCCAGCTGTGGTTTGGGAGGGCCTGCCCAAGGAGATACCATTGATCTGAGCTCCTAATCACCAAAAAAGGCAGATGTGAACATTCCCCTGTAACAGCATTATGGAGAGAGGGACCAGGAGGAGCAAAGCACAGAGATAGGAAGGAGTTAGCATGTTCGAGGACTGAAAACAGGCCAATGTGATGAAAACATAGTGGACGAGGGGTACTTTCTGGACGAATGAAAAGAGAAAGACAGGGCAGGTGGGTAGGGCCTGTGGCCGTGGGAAAGAGTGTGGATTTTATTCTGAGTGCAGTGGGAATTGATAGGGAGTTCAAAAGGGCTTCAACTGCAGTTGGATTATTTCTTAACATTAGTCAAATGATCATTTTATTGTTCTTTCTGCAATTTTACTTATTTTTGGAAAGATAAGCAATTGTATTGATGTCTGAAAATTATTCAGGAAAGAGCATTAATTATAAATGTAAATTTCAAGGAATTGCAAGTGAACACATCCAAGTATAGCCTGCACCCAGATCAAGACTTAGAACCTTACCACACCCCATAAACCCACCTCCTGCTCCCTCCCAGTCACTACCCATCTTCCCCCCCCGACGTGGTAACCGCTGCTCTGACGTCCAGCACCATAGATTAGTCCTGCCTGTTCTTGAGCTGTCTACACAGGCAGATATACACTGAGTGCTGTTTGCATCTGCCTTCCTTCATGCTACATATGAGACGTGTCCTGGTTGCTATAAACATTCTCTTACACATCTTTGGTGCACATATGTGTGCAGTTCTGTTGTGTAGATTTCCAGGAGTGGAATTGCAGGGATGTGGGACTCAGGTGTGTTCAGCTTTCATAGGTATTGCAAAGTTTTCTGAAGTGGTTGAAACAACTCATGGTACCCTCCTCCCACAGCGGTGTTTGGGAAATCCCTTTGACTCATCTCCTAGTCAACGTGAACATTGCCAATCTTTAACTTGAACCATTCCAGCTTTTCCACTCATTCCCAGTTGGTCAGTTAAAAGCTAGTTTGCCATATCTGCAAACAGAACTTCTACCACTTTCTTGAAACGTCTTTCTCTGTACACTTGTCTGTATCTCTGAAATATTCCATAAAGAGATCATTCTGAGCATATGTGGAGAATAAAGTGTGTGGTGCCTGGTGGAGGGCTAGATGAAAACAGTAAAAATTAGTTAGAAGGCTGGTGCTATCATTTAAGCTATAATGCCAGTACTTAGTTTTAACTTTGGGGATGAAGATAGTTATTTCAAAGTAGCAAGTTATAAGGACTCCTAGAGAAGGGTAAGACGTCACATCCCTTTGTGGGACTTCTTTGCCTGTGGAATGTTTCTGCCCTGTTGTTAACATGCATGAATCTTCCATATTTGATATCTTTTTTTGATACAGACTTCTTTATTTTAAGGAGAAAGACTAAACTTTTCATAATAGAGTGTGACTTCATGAGGCACATTATTTCCTGAGACGCCTAAAAATCCTGAAGCAGTGCTGGCTTCTGCGTGTGGGCAGATCCTTATCCTCTCCGTCTCTCCGTCGCCAGTTTCCTAATCTGTTAAATGGGGATATTCGTTATCCCTTCCCTGCCGACCATCAAGACTTGTGATGAATAGCCAATGAGTTGATGCATGTGGAAGTGCTTTGGAAAAAGCAAATTGTTATGAAAATACAAGGCGTTATTATGTAAGCTTTGTATAATGTGTCAGCAAATTGCATTTGATTTGAACTAATGTGGGTTCCCTGATGGCAGGAATGGAGAATACTAAACAGTGGAGAGAGTCTGAAATTGATGGCCAGAAAGTATTATTATTTAAAATGAGCCGCGATGTTGTCAATGAGAGCACTCTGGCTGTAGAAAACAGGGCCCTAATTCTTCCTCTGATTGTTCTTCTTTGTGTCTGTGAATTGTCTGCAATTTTGTTCTTTAAAGAGATACTGTATCACCTTGTCAGATGAGAAGAAAAGAGCAGTTATTTGTTGTCTGGGTGGGTTTTGTTCATGTTTAAAGATTTTAATGAAATCCATTTTAGACAACACCATCATCTAGCTGGAAAAATAAGGGAGACAGTAATTTTTGATGGTGACTGTGGTAAAGGTTGGCAACTTAATCACACTCATTACGTTAAAAAATCTATTCTTGCTGATGGTTTTTCTACAAGAAAGAAGGCTTTTTAAATTAAGATGATATAAACCTCTCTATTCATAGTTGAGTATTCAATTCAGTGAACATGGAGCATGTGCAGAACATAGTGCAAGCTGCAGTTGGTTGCCAAGTAAAGGAAAACCTGGGCCCTGCGTGGATTTATTCAGCTTGGGAGACAAGATGCATCTGATAGAGAAGGGGAAAGTACACGTCTGTACGTGGTAAGAGTCAGGGAAGTGAGACATAGGAATGTTCCCAGGAGAATTCAAGAAGCTAGCAGCCACAGTGGCCTGAGGTTTTCAGAGCACACTTTTGGAGGTGGAAAAGGTCTTTGAAGGATGGATCGTATTAGAATTGATCAATTCCCAAATTAATTTTTTACATTTGTCCTTTTCAGTACTGTCTGTATTGTGTCATCATAATTTGAAATGATGCAGCGTTAGTTATAACCAGTGTCCAATAAGAATTAGATATTGTCTCACAATGACAGTGTGATACAGTTTTTTAAAGCACTTGTCTATTTTTGCAACAACCATGGAAGGAAAACAAAGCTTGCGTGATTTTCATTTTCTAGATGAGAAGATTGAGGCTGTGTTGGCTTAAATGACTTACTTAAGTCTGCAAAGCAATTAGGTGGCAGAAGGTAAAACAATGCACAGCTTGGATAACACTGTGAATTTATTTTGTAGATGCTAGTATGTCCTTTTCACTGTGAAAAGGAGTTCAAATCTAAAATGATTAAGAATTTAGTATTTTAAAACATTGACGGCAGTAAATTGAAAATACGGACAAGGGTGGGCCCATGGGCACCTCTCCATATTAGGATTTTTATAATCATTTCTTAAATATTTGTTGTAGGTGACAGTCCTTTGGTACTGGATTTGGAGTTTAGCATTTAGTCACTTAAAATTGGGACATGACATGAACAGGACAAGAGTATAAAATAATCCCAGTTCCTTGATTCGGACACCCAAAGAACATTTACTGCATGCCGGTGTGTGCCGGAGACTGGCTTAAGGTTTTGGAACATAAACATGACTGAAAAAGGAATTCTCCAATGGAGGAGACGGAGATCAGACTTTGAAACAACTCGCTCTAATTTACAAGAAGTTCTTCAATGGAGTCGCGTGTGAAGGACGTTGAGAGCCTGGAGGAGGAGACGTGAATTCTGCTTGGGGGCTTCACCTGAGTGGGCCCCTGAAGGAAGAGGAGCTATTCTGCTGCCTGAACTGCACTCTGGCTGGAGGAAGAAGTGTGCAGACCCATGGAGGAGGGGCACACGCTGTGAAGGGTGCCTGTGTCTTAGTGGGGAGGCTGATGGTTTTCCGGCAGGCGATGGAAAGCCACTGGGCCTTTTGAAATAGAGGGCTATTTTGATTTTCTTTTCCTCACCCCAAAACATTTTTAAAAACAGCCTGTCAAGAGTGACCAACTTCACTCAGGGAGGATTTCCACAGAGTTGCGTAGGGTGTATTTGGGTTTAATCTGCCTCCCCACTTGATACTGATGCACAATTAGACACCTGGGGAGTTGGGAAGGCCAGCCCTGGTGGTCTTGTGGTTAAGACGCCGTGCTCTTACTGCCGTGGCTCAGGTTCGTGTCCCGGTTAGGGAACCACCCACCTATCTGTTGGCTGCATGTTGCCTGAAAGCTATGCCACGGGGATTTCAAATACCAGCAGGAACAGGTGGACAAGTTTCAAATACCATAGTGGACCGGTTTCAGCAGAGCTTCCACACTAGGAAGAATGACTTGGACACCCACTTCCAAAAAACTGGCCATGAAAACCCTATGAATAGCAGCGGAGCATTGTCTGATACGCACCAGAAGGTGAGAGGATGGCGCAGAAAGACCAGGGGCGGGGGGGTCAACTCTGCTGTGCACAGGGTCTCTAACAGTCCAAACGCACTCCATGGCACTAACAACAAAGAGATGAGAAGGACAAAGACATCCTGACTGCGGTTCCCAGAATGGAGATTTCACTGGCAAGTTCAATTTTAAGACAATGTGGGAACTGAATAGGCCTGCAGATTTTTATTCAGCCAAGGCACAGCATTAAATACAAATGGACGACAAACAAATCTCTCACCCCCTGTCATCCTCCCTGATAGAAGAAAGCATACTGCGAGGCCAAAAAGATGGTGACAGAACAATTGCACAATAACTGCAGTTTCGATTGAGTGAATGTAGCTGTGAGGAGCCCACTGCATTCTTAGTGTGATGATTGATTTTATTTTTTGCATTTCATAAATACTTTTAAAAATAAAGTTTTATTTATTTAACTTATACAATATTAAGGAAACTTCAGCAGAGCCATCCCTGGTTTCAGCATTCTCAGCAGCTGATTTTCAGGTGCTACCTTGACTTCTTCTGCAGACGGAGAACTTACTATTCCTCTCCTTCTCAGGTACTGGCACAGCACGGCCACCTATGCCATAGCCACGGAGGTGAGTGGGGGTCTCCAGCACCTGCCCCCAGCCCATCACCCTATATACCAGTGGCCGAGGGACCTGCTCAAACCTGACCTGGTCTTGCTGCTTACCGTGAGTCCTGAGGAGAGGATGCAGAGGATTGAGGGCCGGGGCATGGAGAAGACCAGAGAGGAAGCTGAACTGGAGACCAACAACATATTTCGTCAAAAGTAGGTGTCCCGATGAGATGTGAGTGGCAGGGGTCCCTGGCCATGGTGTCGAGCCAGGATCAGCACTAACTTTAGGAATGTGGAGGAAATGATGTTGTTCCCATTTTTCAAACCCAAGAGGCAATATCCTCCAAGTGAGTTCAGCTCCTTCTCACGGGATTGTTACCACGGGGCTGCAGCATTGTTGTTTTAAAACCTTGGGATATCTGACTGGGGATCAGACATTCTTTGTGGTCCTGGCTGAGCCAGGAACAATGTGAACCTGAGAAAGACAATAAACATTTCTGGGTCTCGGTTTCCCCAGTTGAAATATAATGGGCAGAGAGCACTGTCTGGTGAACTCATGGTGACTTTCAACTGTTAGGTACTTCCTGTGTCTCAGGCATTTTACTTCTCATGCTCTATAATCCTTGCAAGGACAACATTAACCATATTTATAGTTTACAAAACTGAGGCTGAAAGGACTAAGGGATTTGTCTACATCTGCATAGCTACTAAGTGGTAAAACTGGGATTAAAATCAAGATCTTCTTGATTTTAAGGCAGTGCTTTCATTTTCATTAGAAAGCTCTGAACACAACAGCGGGAGAGTCTGGACCATCTCACTGCCTCATGGCTGAGTATGAATCAGTTCTGTAGGACTGGTTTGAAAAGCCAAAACAGAAGAGTTTATATAAATAAACAATGATCACACTGTTATCATAACAGAATACTGTTATAAATAATTAAATAACAGCTCTGCTGTGTGCAAAGAAACCATCTCAAGCAATTTACTTGTATTAATTCAATTAAGCCCCATGAGAAACTTGCAAGGAAGGTATTATTTCAGTCCTCATTTTGCGGATGAGCAAACCAAAGCACAGGGGGGAAAGGAATTGGACAAGTTCACTTAGCCAGTCAGTGGTAAAGCAGAGCTGTGGACCAGACGGTCTAATCCAGGTGCCTGCTTCAAGCGCAGTGCTATAGTGCTTCCATGAGGCAGTCAGCACCAGTCATTCCATGTCCATCAGGCTAGCTAACACAAAAGGACGTGTAGAATTCTGGTGAAATTTGAGGATACTCCTAAGTGAAAACAGTGTATACGCTAAGGACTTCTGTCTTGTCTGAAACCCTTCAGCACACAGATTGCAGAGAAATTTGCAATTGGGCAAATTACTTAATCTCTTTGAGCCTCTGGCTACTTTCTCTGCAAAATGGGGATAACAGTGGTTTCCCTTCTAAGGTACACTCTGAGTCTGAAATGAGAAGAATCATGCAGAATGCTAACGCTTGCCAGGTAACAGGTATTCAGTAAATGCTAGCTATTAAACATTGTTATTAATTTATCATTTATTAAACAAAATGTATCAAATGTCTCCTGTGGGCAAAGGTAGTTGCCAGGGGGAGCAGTGAGATAAACCAGATGGGATCTTGCTTCAAGCTGTTGAGGAAAATAACATTTGCATGAAGAGCTGTGTTAAAAAGTAGGCCAACTCTTTTCATTGTGCCTGTCCCCAGGGTAGAAGAGTCCTACCAGCGGATGCAGAACCCCGGCTGCCACGTGGTTGATGCCAGCCCCTCCAGAGAAAAGGTCCTCCAGATGGTTTTAAGCCTAATCCAAAATAATTGTAATGAATTGTAGTTGCTCTGGGCCAGGTGATGCATTTTACTAGATTTGATGTTGTTTGATATATCTAAGCCCACGACTGGTTATGCAGTGTTCCCAAATTTCTGTTGCATAAGCAGAAAATTGGAGACCAGACATTTCAGTTTTACCTAAACCACGCACTTGCTTCTGACCAATGAACCCTTCAAGGTTAAGACGGGTCACCTTCCAGCGAGACCAGTGATGGCTTTCTGCCTAGTATAACAAACGTTTTCTTGGAATGTTTTTTTTCGCTGAGGAAGATTAGCCCTGAGCTAACATGTGTGCCCATCTTCCTCCATTTTGTACATGGGACATCGTCACAGCATGGCTTGATGAGCGGTGCGTAGGTCCATGCCCCCGATCCGAACCTGTGAACCCTGGGCTGCCGAAGCAGAGCGTGCGAACTTAACCACCATGCCACCAGGCCGGCCCTTTGGAATGTATTTTTAACTACATCCCTACCAAATCCCTCCAAGGTTTGTCTCATCCAGAAAGCACGAGGTAAACAGAAGCAACCAGGAAGATCTTTCAAATCAATGGAAGCCCTTTCAGCCTCTCCCATGCCTACATCTGACTCCCTGATGAGACCTTGATGTGGCCAGAGTCGAATTCTTCCCATTCTGGCCGCACTCCATCATCCTGAGCTCAGCCCCAAATCCTAGAGCCAGGCGACCCCACAGAACATGTCTGTGTGTCCTGGCTGTGCGAAGACACTCCCAGGGAGCCGTGTTGTGGGTAGGGGACACTTACAAAGAAGGCATCTGACGTGACTGAGGCTTACAACTCCCGAGATGGTCCTCCCGGTTAGCACTTCAGAGTCAAATAGAGAGATAGCCAACTCAAGATGCTCTATATACAAATATACCAACCTTCTTTGAATTATATTCTGCTTATTTATATTGCTTTCCTTTCCTCTGAAAACATGGCTTTGGATGAAATGAGTGTTGTGTACTGAACTAGATGCACGAAACGTAGCCAATCCAGCAATGTGTTTATATTGATGTTTATATCATGTTTCTCCTCAGTGTGGGGCTATGCTTCACTCATTAAAATTGAAGCCAGAAGCTAAATGCATTGCTTGTTGTGTATTTTCATTACACAGATTTAATTTATCTTACTAAATAAGCACAGTGGATCCTGGAATGGGATTTCTTAGTAAATTATCTTGCACTTGAATGTCTTATGATTACACATGAAATCAGCTTTGAGATCTGTTTGGCTAGAAAAAAAAATCTGAGAGAAAAGGAGACTGAATATGTATGTGGCTTTGGGTGAGTCATTTAACATCAACAGTCCATGTAACTTGATCTAAAAAGTGATAATAATTCTTTATTTGTCTTAAGGAGTTGGCTGAACCAGGTGATTACCTAAAATTCCTTCCAGTTCTAAGATGGATGAATCTGTAAATTATTTTGGAGGGATGTTTCAAGAAGACATCCCTCCAAAATAATTAACTTTAAGGCTTTTTCAGGTTTATAATATGGAATCTTAAATTATAATAAAGTTTAGTATTAAATATATCATACTATTTTTCAAAAGTACTATAGGTAATTTATACACACTATATTTACATATATAAATATGTAATTGGTTTCAGTTGAAAATATTTTTTAAAGCTGATAAGTAGCGTTAGGGTTCTTTTAAGATGTGAGATCTAATTATGTTATTGGTGTTATTTACTTTAAACATTTTGAAAAGCTTCTGCTGGCAGCCTAGACAAATGTTTAGTGCTTTCTCTATGTACCTTGTAAATAAATAAACTTGCTGTGACTTTCTGATCCATTCTATTGTCACAAGTGTATATCAGTTTTTCTGAAGATGCCCCTCCAGTGCAGCTCTTGTATGGGAGGGAGTTTTTGGTCAAGGAAGTGGAAAGGTGTGAGCTTGTGGACCAAGTGGAATTTGTGGTGAAAGTGCTTTCGGGGGAAGGAGAGGGCATTTTTGTTTTGTTTTAAACATCATTTCAGGAAAGTGCAATCCCTTCCTCACTGCAAATATTAAAGGGACTTTTTGCTAATCCAGTAAGAAATAATTCTTTGTACAGTTGGGCTCTTTATGCACTGATGGTATATGACGCATGAGTGTGAGATAAGACAGCATCTCCTACCAAGATACCGATGACAAGGGAGCATTTGCTTGGCTCCGTTTCATTACAAGGTGAGTTTTGTTTCTGTTCCTATGACAGACCTTCAGTTGTCCCAAATATTTATTCTCTCTTCTTCCATAGTAATATAATTTTTAGCTCACACACGTGGCTGCTGAGAATTACAAGTACATTTCCAAGGCTCCCTCACAGCTAGAATGGTCAGCTGACCACTTATAGGTTCTTCCCATGGCCTGTGAGCAGGAGAGACCTATGGAAAGTCATGGGGAGGGCATCCCTTTCCCCTCTTAACCCTGCACACTGGCTGGTGTTGAGCAGTGGTGGAGAGCCATCTCAGGACCAAGAGATGAGGGTGACGCTATAAAGATGGAGAAGCAGCAGGATGAATGGAGACTGCCTTTGCTTATGAAAAAGCAGAGAACGACTAGTGTGAAAGTGTCTGGTGCTCCAACCTAAGGGGCGTGTCCACCTGGGGAAACGGATGTGAGGCAGACACAGCTGATGTGCAGAACCTCAGTATCCACCTTCTCCATTTCCTTCCCCCTGAGTGGCTCATGTCTGGGCTGTTTTGTTTTCTTTTCTTTTCTAGACTAGACTCTCCTTTTTTGCTGACTCTTCTCTCTGTGAAGTGTCTCTCTTCTAGGAACAATTGTGTAGTACCTTAAAAATGCGTAGATGCTGACATCTTTTTGGAATGAACACTAAGGAAATAATCAGTGATGTACGTAAAAATGTTTTATCACAGCTGCATAATGTATTTCAAGTCATTGGAATATATTTGTGTATCTGCAAATGTATGTTTACATATAATATGTATTGGTTAAATATATTAAGGTAAACCCTTTTGGTGGAATGCTAAGGAGAATGCTAACCTCCTAAGAAGGTAAAGTATCAAAAGTACTTTTCTCTTAGTTACAGCCAGTGATTTAAATTTCAGCAAAATGTGAAGATACAGCTAAAACCATTTGACCCACTACGCTAGGTTGGCAGGTCCAGAGTGGGGACTCCACGTAGATTAGAGCAGCCGTATGGTTGCAGGTATGCTGGATGACAAGGAGGTTTAGGCCTTTACTTTCTTCACGTTAAAGCTGTTGTTTTGCTATGAATTTTGAGCCCAGGAGTCAGACACTAAGCTATGCTTCCCATTGGCAAATATATCCACTAGCCATGTTAATCTTCAGGCTTCTGTAAGTGCATCTCTGTTCACATGCTTAAGTATTTTCTTAGCATGAGCAAGGAGAGGAGAAATGGATGCTGGCCTTTTTTTTTTCAGGAAGGTATTTTTTTTTTCCTCACTTCAAAAGTGTAGTAATTTCATGAAATTCATTCAGCCTACAGTTGTAATCTACAACTAGGAGAAGATGCTGTCGTTTTATATTGCCTATAAATAATCTGGTCTTTCTCAGGAGCAGCGTAAGTGGTTAGTAGAGGAAAGAATGTTTAGTCCTATCAGGTTTAAAACTTAATATAATTTGATCTTGTAACAGTCCCTTTAGGTAATGCACACTCTTTTTCAGAGACAACACTCAGAATCTCAGATTTCTGAGGCTTCAAAAGCCCTCCCTAGCCTCTCCCCAAGATGGCATCTGGGTGCCTGGGGCCAAGAGCATCATTTAGGCAACCTTGGGGATGAGAGAAGATGGGTCTCTGGTCACATTATCCTCTCTCTACCTGGATGTGGATTGCCCTGCTGGTGCAGACAACTGAGATTTGTATCTTGTAGCCCTTTAGGAAGACTTGGTTTCTGCTTGGGTCTCATTGGTGTTTAGAGCTCTTGAGTCTCTGTCTTCCATCCAGCCCCAGCCGTAGTCACCTCTTGGCCAGCTTCAGTTTCACAGCCATCGGAGCCTTCTCTCTGGGGGACCGTACACTCCAGGGCGTATTCAAATGTCAAGGAACTGAGAACAGTCAAGACAGTAGATGTCAAGCGCTCCCTTGCTGAGTCATTCTGCACAGCCCAGTTTATCTTGAGGTACCCTTGTTCCAGGTTGGTTCGGAGAAGCTTGAGGTCCCAAATGGGGAGATGGATGTTCTCCACGTCCCCTCACTGAACTGTCACTGCAGTTCTAGGACAAAGCCTAGAGACAGGAAATTGGGGGGCATGCGCTTCACCACCTCACACTTTTTTTTCCCTTGGGAAGCAAACAGAAACTTCCATTTGCCTACCAGGTTCTGAATCTCACGATAATGTATTTTAATGTGGGTCTGTTTTCATCCATGTCTGCTGGGCCCTTGGGCCATCTTTTCAGTCTGGAAACTCATGTCCTTCAATTCTTGGAAATTTTCTTGAATTATTTCCTTGATGAATTCTGCTCCTCACTTTTTCCCTTTTCTCTTTTTCTGTATAGTTTGTTATTCAAATGTTGGACATATTGGATTGTTTTTCTAATTTCTTTATCTTTTCTCTCACATTGTACCTTTTTTATAACTTTACTACATTTTATAATATTTCTTCAACTTTGCATTTAAACTCTTCTATTAAGATTTTCATTTCTGCTATCAGGTTTCTAAACTCTAAAAGCTTTCTCTTTCTCCCTCTTTCCCTCTCTTTCTTTTTCTTGTTATCTAGATATTCTTTTTTTTATAACATCTTTTTTTTTTCTTGGATGCAATATCATCACTTATCTTTCTGAGACTATCAATTATGGCTTCGTTTAAAGTTCTTCCTGTAAACTCTCCATTTCCTCTAAGGTGGCTTTTTGTTTTTTTTATTTGCATCTTCCAGGTAAGATGCTTTCCTCAGATTCTGGTGATGCTTGGTGGTGGCTCATGATTGGCATGGAGATTAAAAACTTGGTGCGTAGGGGCCCGCCTGGTGGAGTAGTGGTTAAGTGGCGGCCTGGGGTTTGCAGGTTTGGATCTTGGGTGCGGACCTACACACCACTTCTCAAGCTGTGCTGTGGCAGGCGTCTCACATATAAAGTAGAGGAAGATGGGCACGGATGTCATTGGTAATTGTCATAAGTGAACTGATTTTAGATCCTTGTGGGCACAGACTAAATACAAGACATCTCATTTGGACCTGTGTATTTCATCCGGAGACTGTGCATTGGTCCGAGTCTACTTTGCAGGTTTTCATGGTTAATCCTGAATTTTTTTAAACAAGTA